AATGTTGTTGCTGCTTTTGAAAAATAAAAGTCGTTGCTGAGGCAGCAGAAATTTACCTGCTGTTGGGGCTTGAATGTTAATCTGTTAATCAGGGATGACAGCCCAGAAGTCAGTTGCATAAAAAACAGTTATTGAAAAAAGAAAATAATAAATTGGAATGGGCCCATGTTTCCTGTTGTCTGGTTTCATTTTACATCCTTAGAATACGCTTGATAAAATGTCTAGCCAGTTTTTAAAAGCTAGGAAAACTAGGATTTTTTTAAAAAAAGGTGAATGTAATGTTGCTGCTGACATTTAACAGGGGGCACTTAAACCTCATTTAACTTTGCCGAACTTCTGTGGTATGACCTACTTCTTTGGATTTCTGGCTCAATTTATTGTGTAGAAATTGTCTCTGGCATGAAATCTAAGCTTTCTCTTTCTGTGGTAAAGGTTCCCCTTGACAATTTTTGTCCAGTCGTGTTCGACGCTAGGGGGCAGTGCTCATCCCCGTTTCCAAGCCATAGAGCCAGCGTTTGTCCGAAGACAATCTTCCGTGGTCACATGGCCAGTGCAACTTAGAGACGGACCGAGGTGGTCCCTATTGATCTACTTGCATTTGCATGCTTTCGAACCGCTAGGTTGGCGGGAGCTGGGACAAGCGACAGGCGCTCACTCCGTCGCGTGGATTCGATCTTATGACTGCTTGGTCTTCTGACCCTGCAGCACAGGCTTCTGCCGTTTAGCCCGCAGCGCCACCACGTCCCTTTCTGTGGACATGTCAATATAGCATGAAGTCTAGACACCCTTCCTTAATTTTTTATTTGGAGAATCTCAAGTCATAGAGGTGGATTTTCAAGGAGTAGCAATTTCTTCTTCTTCTTTGTAATAAACTCGTCGGGAGAATTTATAGGAACCCCCCCCACACACACACACACACACTAGTTAGCAAGCACTGTTTTGCCTTTTTTCATGTAAGGCATCCTTGAAGATGATTCATTATAATGTAGCAATGGGCTTAAGATTCTCGGCCTACCAAAGCATTCTAAAAGTTAACCGCGACACTCAGGGAGAGACGCATTATCTAAGGCTGCAATAATCTAAACACACATACAAGGAAATAAATCTTGTTGACACCACAGTAGTATGTTTCTCAGTAGATCTTCAAAGGGTTTCATCAGGAAAATTTTTGCCACAAGGATGCTTTTTTGACAGCTCTGCAAATAAAAGAAATCTGCTTTGTTCTTATCTTTTCATCTGTGATACCACTTTTTAAAAAATCCTGAGTTTTGGCTCTTGCCTTAGTCTTTTGTTTATTGTGTTTTCAAGCATTTGGAAATATTTCTGATATTCTGAAACATTTGGAAATATTTTTGATTTTTTTTTCTCACAGTACTTTATTAATCATGACTGCTCTCTGTGATGCAATGCATAGTAGGTTTTTTTTGGCTTTCCCTTTTTCTATCATAACCTCCACTTTATTTATTGTTCTAGACAGAGGCTGGAAACCTGCTGATTTTAGCTCTTTTCCTTCTAGCCATTAACCATTAATGCATTGACCGTTTCTTTTCTGCATGCAGTCAGAATCAGTGGGAAAAATGATACCTTTGCATCCTTCCTCCTTTTCTTACTTTGTGCAAGAGTTTTGCTTGGTGAACAGAAATGTGAGATGATGGCTTCTTAAATGCATATGCAGAATACGTATGCACTATGGGAAGAAGATTCCAGTTTGGAATCAAAACTTCCTATGCCTTACATCCAGCTCATAGGATTTCAAAGTAGTAGTAGTTTTGCTCCATTGTCCTTTGCCTTCCCAAGGTTTTGTTCCTCAATTCAGGAAGGATTTTAAGGTAACATCAACTCGGTGCCCTCTCCAATTACACAGTTGTGGAGTAATGAAACACCAAAAAGGGCAAGAGCCATGGGTGCAAATTATTGGGCGAAATGAGAGGTATTACTCAGATACAAAGTTAAATATAGGGAGCTATGATGATCTCTTTGTGATTAGGAATCCCTCTCCAACCAGCCTTTCACACTTTTGCTTCAGAGACTGGAATGTGTGCTACATTTTAAGGTGAAGTTCTGCCCCACCACTTGATTCTTTTTAACATTAGACATTTTTGTTCTTTGGATTCTGTGCTGAATGCCTGCTTTCTTCATTTGCAGTGCAATTGTGACTATGTAGATAACTAGTCCTGAATTTTATATGGTTTTTGTTTGGAAGCAGGATAATAGATATGTGCATAAAAATTTATCTCATTCTGCACAGTGACTAAGGCAAATCTGCTAAGTCAAGATGCTTGTGAAAATTCCTATATTTATTTATACCAGGGTTGGAGAGTCTTATTTTTTTGAAGTAATCCTGGTTATGCATCCCCCCTGCTCAATATTTTGCTGGATTGTATCAAGCTTTGCAACATGTAAGATTCCCAGGAGCAAGCAGATCCTTGGAGTCTGATAGAAAAAAAGCCAGAGGTCCAGTTCTAGACTATGATCTACCATCTGTCAGCGGTAGAAAGCAAGAGTCTCTCCTTCATGATTCAGAAGAAAGTTTGGAAAAGTGCCCGCAACATATGGCTATTCTAGAGGTACAGAAACAAATTCCAAATAATGTTTTCGAAAATATTATGGATTATTCTCATGAAGGATCACACATAGTTTAATCTATACTTTTTGAGTCCCGAATAGTCACATCCAGAAAGTGTTTGGATTTTTTTTTCGGAACTTGTAAGGGGACTAAGAGGTTTTCTTCAGGGGGAGGAATGCAAAATTTTGGACCTCCATGTATACCCAAGCTCCATGGCAGATTTCCACATAACATACAAAATTGCTTGAGAAGGATGTTGTCAACTCTGATTTCCTCTCACCAATGGCACTTGGTATTATGATAATTCATTCCTATATTCTCAAAGAAGAAAATCTATATTTAGTCATTTGATAATCTTCACTGTGGCCTTACACCTATAATCCTCTTAGATGAGATGATGAGGAATCGAAACAGCAGTCATGCACAGGGATGAGTTAGCTGCCTATGGTTTCTTGCACAAATTACTCAAGTATTCACTGAATAGAGGGCTTGAAGTAACTTTAAGCAATGGCATTTCCTTCAGGAAAAGGATGAACCTTATACTACCTGGATCTTCCCACAGAGTTGAATATGCTGGCAGCTCACAGATTCTGAGCATCAAATGTATTTTGTTTTAGTGTGAAAAAGTAACCTTTGTGACACACCATGTACAGCTCCATATGCTGATACAAGTCACTGCCTAGTGGCCCAGATCCTCAGCTGCTCTAAGTCTTCTGAGCAGTGTGAGCAATGGACTCCAGTGACCGGGGTAGGCCAGTTTATGAGGGACAATATTCTGCATTTACAGGTAGTGTCTCCCCTGGCCTCTCAGCTGCATCTTGTTGTGATTTCAACCAAATGCACCTTCCCCACAGTTTTTACCTGCTTGCTTCCTTCTCCTGCTTGTACTTGCTTCTAGAGGGCTGTAGACTAGAACAGTAACTTTTCAGAGCTCTGTCCTGGCCTCCCATTTGGAAAGTCCTAGAATGCAATGCATTGTAGTATATCTTGCTGATTCAAAATGCTGCATCACTGAGAGTTAATGCAGGAGTTGTAGCTCCTCTCCCCCACACAGCAGCTTTACATTGCTGAGGTAGTGGCAACATAGTCTGTCAGATGGGACATTTCTTAGTGGAATCTCCCATATGACTGCTCTCACATTGTAGGGGCTAATTTGATGAAACTAGTACTGGATCTTCTGATCCTGATCTTGCTTCTCCCTTTAGTCAGAGGTGATCAGCACAGCTCTTGTGGCATGCAGATGGCAGCATGTTGGTTCACCTTGTCTGTCACTTTTGGAAACACTGTTGGAAACACTGTTGGAGGTCTCCATATGGATGGATCTGCTAATATGAATCTGAACATTTTCCCTTCCTACTATGTTATATTTTGCATGTATGTTCATCGTCTGTTACTGCTAAATATTCTTCATTTTGTTCCAGTGGGCTGTTACTTTGTCTCATGTATAAATAAGCTTAAACTCCAATTTATCTGGCATGATGATTGCCACGTGGGGGTGTCTCTCTTCCCAGCCAAATATAATCTGTGTGTTTCAGTGTAATGGAATGGGGAAAGATGCCGAGTGGCTGGCAGCCCTTTGCCTAGTAAGTCACAAGTAGAGTAGGGCAATGGGGATTTGGTGAGTCAAGTCCTCTGTAATTTCCATTTATCAAAAAGGGCCTATTCTGTGAATTGCTATGCTAAAATAAGTTACAATGAAAGGAGACCTATTAGAGTCAATGGAACTTATGGAGGAGTTGACCTACCAAATCCCCATTGACTCAATGGACCTACTCTATTTCAATTTGCTATGCTAAGCAACAGGATTTTGGCCAATGAAATCTTCCTCCCCCAGAGGTGAAGCTTAATAACCAAATCTGATTCCATAAAGTTACAGCTTCCATTTTGGAAATTCACTTTAAACTATGAGATTCTTCTCTGCCTAGGCTTTTTCTCTCTGTCCCAAACCATGTTTTCTAATGCCCAGACTGGCGGAGAGCTTGACAGGACTAAAAAACTAACCCGTTTCTAACATACAGTATGAGTTGTCTAATAAAAGTGTTGAGAATATCTTGCTTTTGGATTTTACACAAGAACGACAAAGCATCTTCTCTGGTTTTGTTTCTCTTAAGCAGGTGTTCTGTAACCGCGTACTATCCAGCCTTGCACTTCTGGATGTCACAACCTGTCTGTCTGCTTATATTGGTTTGTTCCTTTTGAATATGTTCCCACACTCTACAGCAATTTACATGAGTGGGTTCTTTCTTCATAACATTAGGCATGATTCTATTCAGTGACATTCGTTTTGGGGGGCTTGTTCCACAGAAACAGGTTGCATCTCCAAAGGAACATAACCTAGCTGTTGCTTTGCCTGTAGGAGGGCACCTCCAGCTGAGTAATACATCTGATTTTCTTTGTGTTGGTCTCTTTCCCCTTTCCTCCCTCTTTTTGTCAGGAAGAAGCTGACACTGCTGAAGGAAATGCTGGCTGGCTGTGGGGCAGGGACCTGCCAGGTGATTGTCACCACTCCCATGGAGATGCTCAAAATCCAGCTGCAGGATGCAGGCCGAATTGGTACCTTGTCTGTCTGTCTTCTCTCTTCATAGTGTGTGTACAGTAATAGAAACTGCCTCTTAGGGCTCCCCTGATAAGGGCGAGAGGGGGTTGAGGACTAAAAGCAAGGCAGTGGTTTTGAAGGGACATTAAAGGCTGAACCACTCCTGGGTTACAGGTTTATAAAAAGCTTACACCTCTGCCAATTTTTTTGGACTGTAATTCAACAGCCAACAGAAGGTTACAAAACTGAAGCAGGCAAAGTCATATCAAAGGTTATGTTAGCTGACACAGCTATTTTCCTTGGATGGCCCCTGATCATTTATATCTCCAGGAAGGATCTCTATTTTTATGAGATATTGTTTTCTCCTCTTCCTATTCTCTCTTTTCATATGCCTGACGTGGGAGGGTCTCATTTACCAGACCCATTCTAATGAAACCACATCTCTATGTTTTCCTGTAAGGGAGAAGGGAGCAGGTAAAAAAAACTGCTGTGCTCAGGTTGTGAATTATTAAACTGGTCCAGGAAGGCCAAGAAGAAGATGATTAGTTGCCCTTAGTGTTGTTTCATTTTCTCTGCCAAGCCCCTCTAACCACCAAGTGTTTAGTATTAGGAACACTATTTTTGCCCCAGAAAATGCTATTTCCCATGGTTGTATCTACCCAGCACTTTGGGGTGTGGGGATTAGTTTGCTGGTAGTGCTACTGCACCTTTGGTGGAACTGAGCCAACAATATTGTTTGTCTCTTAAAATCCAAATATAGACATCCTGGCAGGCATGACTTTTGTGAATATGCAGCAGCAACAGCAGTTATTTGCTGGCACATTATAAGATCTCCGTGTTCTTCCATATGTCTCTTGGCCTCTCTTCCTTGCTGTGCCTATTTCCAGTTGGAATGCAAATCATCAATTGGAAATATGCAAATTAAGAAAGCTGCGGAAGGGTGGGCTTTGTTTTCTTAGCTATAGCAGAGGCCAAGTGTACTATACCGGAGGGATTGACATGGGTGCCCTCTTCTGATAAAATAGGAGAACTACAGTGGATGTTGTTTGTGGGACCGGATCTCAAAGATGGTACTGTGTTTCAAACACATCCTAATGCTGTACTAGGAACATATCCTAAGAGGCAGTGTGGTAAAGTGGTTAGAGTGTTGGACTGCAACTGCTGAGATCCCAATTTTTGTCTCCCTTGAGTGATGAAAAGTCACTGAGTTAGTCATATTCTCTAAGCTTGATTGAGCTCGTTGTTATGAAGGTAACATGGGTAGGAAGAGAACCACAGGCACACCACCTTGCCATAATTAGAGGGAAGGTATAATCTAACAAGCAAATTATATAAATGGTTGAAGCCTTTGATATCACTAGGGTTAATCCTTTGGTGCCTTCGTCCAGTTTGAGATAAAGTTCTGGGGACACTCTGCAGCTGTTTTATTATTATTTTTTCCTTTGTCAGTATACTAGAAAAGAAGAAGTTGGGATACAAAACGAAAAGCCGTGCGTCTGAGCAGAGCATTTGGAAAGGCAGCTGAGAAAGGAGAGAGAGTCCAAATGATTGTTCCTTTTCACCCATAGCTGATATGAAAGTCATCATTTGGGGAGAGGAGGGAGGGAGCAGACAGCCAAAGGGGGGGGAGAGAAAAACCTTCACATCTGAAGACTGAGATTAAATAGATTAAATGTAGTTTCCCAGTCTGAAAGCCACAGGCCTAGTCTTAATGTTTTTTTCTTTGCTGGAAGCCTGCCCTCCTGTTGTATAAAATGACTTTCTATTCCTTGTTTTGTTTACATCAGATACTCTTTCAAAATGCACAACTGCTACTTGGTTGATAATTTGTCCTAAGAGTGTCCTTTGAAGCATATCACAGATCCAGTACATTTAGTACCATTTTAAAAATCATAAACAGAAGAACTGAGATATTTTGCTGCAGCTCTGAATTTGGGCACAGACTTTCCTTCCTGACAGCTGACCGCTTGCTATTAATGGGTGTTTTAGGGATAAGCAGCATATTCCTTGCACAGGAAAGTGTGGTATAGATGTGTCCTGTGTGAACAAAATAAATCATATAAACTTTGGGGTGGGGGGAACTGTACAGCATTAGGATGCCCCTCTAAAGCCCATGTGTTTAAACTTGGGTTTTCCCCAAGTGTACAGAGGGAAGGGGTGAGAACAATATGGAAACCTTCTCTGCCTAAACTGGCTGGGAGATTTGGAGCACTGTTAACCAAAAAAATAACATTTCCATGTTGTGGGGATGAAGGCGTAATTGTAACAACAATGGTGGGCTGTCACTTCACCACCATTACCCCCCCCCAAGCTCTGCACCGTTTGTATTTTTCTCCCACATGTGGCAGTAATAAAAGGAGGTGAGCTCACTGGAAGAAAAGTCCTTGACCCGGGGAGCAGCTCAGGGAGAAACACAGGTTGACATTTTCTGTGGCATAGGCACATGCACCCATACACACGCACGTACACAAAGACATGCACACAAACAGACACAGAGCGTGCTCCTAGCATTATGGTGTTGGAGCGGCATGGTGTTGTGGTGCTGTGGTGCTAGAGTGTCTTCCTAAATATTTAGACAATTCTGCTTTGCGATAGCAGAACTTAAGAGAAGATCCATTTTTGGTAACTCAGCATTGATCAAAGGGCGATATAGCCTGCATTAAGTGACAACCTGTCCCTTACTGTTATGGCTTTGTTGTTTAGCCCAGTGTCAAAAGCCGTCCCTTACTGTTATGGCTTTGTTGTTTAGCCCAGCGTCAAAAGCAAAATGTCTTGTTCCATTAATGTCCTAGTTTATAGAAAGTTGCATTTGTGTTCTGGTATGAGCTTTCCATGGGGGATTGTAAATAATGGTGATCTCTCAATGTCTCTGCAGCTGCTCAGAAGAAACTAATGGCAGCCCAGGCTCAGTTAAATCCTTCCACTGGTGCTGGAGCAGCAGAGTCTGTTGTAGAGACACGAACAACAGCGATGCAAATCACAAAGGAACTGCTTCGGAGCAAAGGCATCTCGGGACTTTATAAGGGACTTGGAGCTACATTGCTAAGGTAAGGCATTCCTCCAGATATTCTCTCTGGCCAGAGTAGTTTGGAAGCAGCCAAAAAGGAGGGAGATGGAACACAACAGCTGTGTGTGTGTAAAAGCATCTGCAGGGAGTGGAAAGCTTGACCATAGCTTTCTGGCTTCTTCTGTATACTAATTAAATAAATAAGTATTGCCATTTAGTTCACAGCATTGCATTGGCTAATCTTTGCTGTTTGCTATAGAGTACCATTGACTCACATGGTGCTTTATAGAGTAACAGAAGCACAGAAAAAGAAGCCTTTTTCATCAACACACGGAGAGGGGGGCCTCCTAGCCCCACCCCATCCCCACCGTCACATTGCTTACCTAAACAACAAGGGTGAAGAATGGAGGTTCCTGCTCCCATGAAAGCAGGAAAATCTGGTTCCCGCTTGCATGTAGAGCTTAAATGTAAGCAGGACCTTTCCCCTCTTCACACTTGTCACTACTTGTGAGCAAAGTGATGGCTGAAGAGGCAGGGTTAAGTGCTCTCTCCTAAGCATAATGTCAGTCGCAGGGGCTATAATGTCTGAACAGAGCTAGGGTTATCTACCAAGAGGTTTCCTATAGACATCTAAAGTGCAGGAAACAACCAGGAGACAAGGGGAAAGGTAGGAAAGGGAGAGGCAGATGTGACAGGGAATGAATATGGACAATTGTAGTTACATTTACTTAGAGGTTGGTTCAGTTTAAAAAGCCAGAGGAATGCTGATGTACTTTGCTTAGGAATTTTAGAGTACTAAATAGGATCTGCTCCTAAGAAAGAGAGCAGAAAGAGAGCAGAATGTCAGTTCGAAGTGACAGGGAATAGCAGGGTCACCTAGTGCACTTTAAACAGTAAAGCAATTGACTCTTTCCATCTCCTTCCCATGTTTGCCTCTTTTTTCCAGAGATGTACCTTTTTCCATTGTTTATTTTCCACTGTTTGCAAACCTGAACAAACTGGGGCAGAAGACCCCTGATGTGAAAGCTCCTTTCTACGTGTCCTTCCTCTCTGGATGCCTGGCAGGCAGCACAGCCGCGGTGGCAGTTAATCCTTGTGATGGTAGGTACTGCAAGTGAAGTTTGGCCAGGGTGTTGTGTGTGAGGTGTGGACTCTCTCTCTTTCTCTCTGTCTCTCTGTCTCTGTCTCTGTCTCTCTCTCTCTCTCTCTCTCTCACACACACACACACACACACACACACACAAACTGCGAATAGCAACAAGTTGGGACCCAGACTTATGCGCATGTTAAGTGTTACTTTTTATAAAAGTAATTAGACTTTGCTGCTATTTCCCCTCTTTTATATCAATAGTGCATTAAGCTGCTTGTTACTTTTAACTTACTGGGAAGGGGATACAAAAATGCTAATTCTTACAGTTCCTACCCCAGAGATTTCATGTAACATTACATTATTTGTTCAAAAAAGGTAATGTTATTTTAACACAGGAAGTTGCAATGCTGGCACTTGTTATTCAAAAGGTGCTAAGGAGGAATGGTGCTACTTTTAATTATTTCCAACCTCTGATTGAGGCATCTTGAAACAATAATGATCCCAAAAGGAGACCATATTATATTTCATGCCATGGTGAGTGTCAGGGACCCAAACATCCAACACCACCATGACTGGGGATGAAGAGTGCGTGTTTTCCTCTTGAGAGAGACCAAGCCTTGTAGAAAAGTGGAGATACTGCCTGATTCTTAGTTGAAGTGGTACTGTTGATAACACAGGAGTGATTTACTCTGCCTGGACTACAAACAGTTGAAACATTGGATGGGGTAGGGCAGGGGTAGGAAGAAGAGACTTGCGGCTGACAAAGACTTCATTCATATATGACCTTTCCTATTGTCCAAATTACAGTTTAAAGGATTAGGACCAAGCTTTGTGCTCATGCATCCCCTTCTGTTCCCCTTTGCCTAGCATATGCCTGCCTTATGGATTCCTGGTTTGCTCATAGTTTGCTGTCGCTGCTGAACATGGTATGCAATCCTGGTTTGAAAAGCTTGCTCCAGCTGTAGTTTGCCAATTTGGATCCAACACCAATCTATAGGCTGATCAGATCAAAAGGTTATCTGTTGTTACCTTCTGAGGTTTTGAGAAAGGGAAGGGAATGGAGGAGCACATTGGGGTTGTTCTTGAAATGTGCTGTCTGAATGCAACCAGTCAGTATAAAGAGGATGACATAGGAGACATAGGAGTGGTCGTGGTAAGATTAATATGGTTCAGCAGAGGTTTAGTTTAGGAAGTGGGAGGTGGGGAGGAAGCAGAAGGTGAGGAGGTAGCTTAGCAGAAAGAGGTTGCAAAGTATATGAGAAGAGGATGGGAGAACTCAAATAGAACGCTATGCAGGGAATGACTTGTTTGGCCAGTTTGTCCCCAAAATAAGAGACTGATACTGAATAAAACAAAAAAACAAGACAAAAAAGAAGACAAATGAAACTCGTGTACCAAAGGATTCCAGAGTCTTTGTCAAGAGAATCAAGATTCTGCTATCAGAATGACTTGAATGTATTTCCTTGTACTTGCATCATGATGCTTCTGTTACTTATGGGGAAGGGCAAAGAGTGGCTTAGGGCAATGCAGCTAGGAGGAAGCACTGACCCCAGGCCTCTTGGAGATTCTCCACAGCTTCCCTTAAAGCACCTGAGATTTTACAGGCATGGCCTGCACAGTTATAAGCCTATAATTCTTTGGATAGATAGTTCCTCTCACAGATGAATTAAAGGGTTTAGAAAGTGGCAGAAAGAATCATGGGATGTTATCCCATTTGCAGAGGGAAAACTACCCCTGGTCCTGAGAGGGCCGTCTCTTCAGCCAGAGATGGAGGCAACCAGCACCAAGGGTGTTTGTTATGTATAAAGACCTCATTGCAGAGCCTCACTTATATCTGCCATAGTCTAAGGCTCAGAGGCTTGAAACTGAATTGACAGAGAGACCGTGCAGTGTTCTTAGAGAGGGGGGTGGCTGGGCCAGGATGACACATATTGTAGCAGAGTTTAGCAAAAGCATGTCCAGACAATAACGGCTAATCTGTTCATGGGGAAACCATTGTCAATGTAAAACTTTTTTTACCTCCACATTGACAGGATTGGTGTCTGTGTCTCAATGGCTAAAGGAAATATGGAGAAATTAAACAGAAACAAACTAGAGCATCAGTAGAGACTAACTCTGCTCTTTTTTTTCCTCAGTAATCAAGACCCGGTTACAGTCCTTGCAGAGGGGAGTCAATGAGGACACATACTCAGGGATAATAGACTGTGCCAGGTAAATGATATCCTTGGTGATTTATCAGTAGCTGAAACATGAGCACCTGTGCCAAGGATGTTGCTAGGAATAGTTATGAATAGCTGCAAGCATAAAAACAGATTTCTATGACTATATGAATTGTTAGTTTCTTTTCAGATGAGAGTATTCAAAGCTTCTTTAGGTCAAATTGTGAGTTCTTACTAAAATGCAATAAATCCACTAACTAGGCCTGTTGGTGGGTTCTAACACTCAAATGAACCTTTTTTTCCTCCTCCGTCTCTTGGCTTACCTTATTCTGAGTTTTTGCTGCTGATAAACCATTAGTTTTTCATAGCCAGGCATGTGAGATCAAGTGTGTTATATTTGGGCACACATGAGACATATTCCTAGAGAAATCTGCAGAAAATTGTACCACCTGCCATGTTACTTCTAGTTATTCTTTGCAAGGCAGCCATTAAAATAAACTGGGACTTTTACATTTTACCTTGTTTTTGAAGTGCCTTTTCTAGATACAGGGAAATCATAGAATTGTAGAGTTAAAAAGTATCAAAAGGGTTGCTTTGTCCAACTGTCTGCCGATTGGTTCTATCGCTGAACAGCTTGTTTAAAGAGAATAGCTATGCCTGTAGTTTGATTCCAGTGGCTCAGGTCCTTCCCTCTGGAGCAGCAGAGGGAATGAATAGTCTCCAGCCTTTCACTTTTTCTGCACCTTTGCTTGTGTAAGTTTAAACTGGGGTTGAATATGCCCTATGGCAGAATCTCTGTAGAGGGCCGGGCCACTTTCAGTAGGACTAAATTACCTGCAATTTGTGAATACACCCAAACTCTTGATCCACATTCACCTCCACAGGAGTATGGCTCAACTGTAGGTGGCATGGGCACACACAGAAGCCACCCATTGCCATTTAGATCTGACAAGGGCTCTTTTTCCATGTTCAGCTGATCATGGTTACAAAGTCCTTCTTGGTTAGAATGGAAATCAAAACTGTAGTTGGCTAGGGGAGGCTGCTGTAGAGGTCAGACTCATATGCCAACCTATGCCCTCTACAGCAGTGGTCCCCAACCATGTGCCTCCAGATGTTCTTGGACTTCAGTTCCCAGAAATCCTGGCCAGCAGAGGTGGTGGTGAAGGCTTCTGGGAGTTGTAGTCCAAGAACACCTGGAGGCCCAAGGTTGGGGACCACTGCTCTACAGAGTTTAGCCTTCCTCATGTGCAGAGGAACACCTGCACAGGGGCTTCAATTAAGAGTTTGTGCTCACTCTGTGTCCTTCAGGGCACTGAATAAGGTCATTGTTCTGGGTAGAATTATGTTAGTGAGAGAGAGCTCTATGCCATAAGGCATCTTGCAGGAATAGCTGGGTGAAGGTCTAAAATGTTCTGGCTGAGGAAACTACAATAAGGGTGCGGTGGAGGGCAGTGTGATTAGTAACCATCTTTCTTCTTTTTTAAGGAAAATCTGGAGGAAGGAGGGCCCCACAGCCTTTCTGAAGGGGGCCTACTGCAGAGCCTTGGTCATTGCTCCATTGTTTGGTATTGCACAAGTGGTCTACTTCATCGGCATTGCTGAATACATCCTAGACATGTTTCCAAGGCGCCAGGATTAAACCCCTCGCATCTCTTCCCATCCAATTGGAATTCATCGTAGTATTTTTGTCATCATGGTGTCCAAGCAACAGCACAAAGAGTTAAAGCAGTGGGGATGAATGTTCTCTTCAGACAAAGTTATTTTTTTTCCTGTCAACATGGTCCCCCTATTTTTACCCCAGGGAGGATCCTAATTATGCATATCTCCCTTTTCATTGTCAGTCTCAAAGACACTGGTTAACACAGACTGTGTTACAGGCCCAGTGTTTCTCTTGGCTAAGGGAAAGTGAGCCATCTATGTTCTCTGAGTTACCACCCAATCAAGACAGAGCAAAAGAACTTGACTTCTCTCCCCAGCCATATTCTTGGTTATGATGAGGCCTCTGGGGAAGACAAGGGGCTGGTACCCACTAAAAGGGAGGCCATTTTGTCTGTTGAGAGGGCAGGTAATTATGAAATCAAAATGTTTGGGTTTTTAGGTAGTTCTCCTAAACACCCCTCCCCCAAATTAGTTGGACTTAAATGAACTCTTTGGATATTGAAGTAGGGGGGAAAGGGACAGGTGCATCCTCTGTGCTGATTTACGAAATGAACCGCCTTCCCAAACGGAGCGCGTCTGTGAATACATGGTGCTGCCCAGTGTCATAAACTTGCTGTGAGCCATTATGGTTGGGGGAAGAACCAATCTGGGGATCAATTTTTATTTAATTTTATGCAGATTTATGCCCAACCTGTTAATACATTCCTTTTGGTCAGCTTGATTGATGCTAGTAATGCTGTTGTCCTGCCTGGTGTTTCAGTTGTCTGTGTCTTTTGAGCTGTGCCTAGAACACATGTATTCCTTTCTAGTTTCCCTCTGGGGGTACAGACCATGCCAAAGGCTAACTTGGAGTTGATCTCTGTTTTGGCATTTAATACTGCAAAGTTGCTGGATGGTACAGAGAGTTGTAGTTCAACTAAAACCAGAGGAAAACACCTTACACATTTTGGGGAGGGTGCAGCTACACAGGAGTTCAAGGAATGAATCTATTATACTTTATGTTCAGGGTTTGTTTATTTTTTTTCCTGAACTCCAGTGAACTATATTTTAGCGATACCAGCTAGTTTTCATATTCAGGCCAAAACTGACAGCTATCTGTCAAAGCTTCCCTGTTACTTCTACAGAGACCTTCATACAGACATATTCACCCTTAGATGTGGGGCTGAGGGATTTCCTTAGTTCTTTTAAATCAGTGGTTCTTAACCTTTGTTACTTGGATGTTTTTGAACTGCAACTCACAGAAACCCCAGCCAGCACAGCTGGTGGTGAAGGCTTTTGGGAGTTGCAGTCCAAAAACATCTGAGTAACCCAAGGTTAAGAACCAGTGTTTTAAATAATTGCTCAGAGACAACAGTATTTCAATAGAAAAGCATCCCAATATTGGCCATTTTCCTTTTGTTTCATTGTTGTTGTTGCACCTTTTTCTGTTGGTCCTAGCAGCTTGATAACTGTCTCAGGTGCTGATATAGCACTGCTTAAACTTCCAACATAGCAGGATTTTTTTTCAAAACAAAAAATCTTTCTTTTTTAAAGTTTTCCTTTCCTTTTATTTGTTGTTGTTGTTGTTGCAACGTGTCACTTAGTTTTTCATTTCTCTGCCTGTGTCGAGTGCTTTAAATAATATTTCCTGCATTGCATTTCACAGAAATGAATTTTATATACAGATGAGATCTGCATCCAAAACTACTCTTTGTAATGTCTTGAATGTTAATAATGTTTGTGTTATTGTTGGCTCCTTTGAACAGCAAGCAATTTTATTTTTGTTTTTATTTTTCATTTTCCTTAGTATATAGGTAAGGTGGTGAGCTTTTTCTTTGGTCTCCCCCAACTCCAAAATCAAATGTTAAAAATCTCACATGTAGGGGCTGCAGATGGTGGGTCACCCACAAAATAATTACCAGAAATAGCTGTAACTGGTTTGTACTAGGACTGTAATAATTTAACTTCCTACATTTCATGCTGCTTTTTCTCTGTCACTTTAAATCCCTGCACACCTTAGCAACTGATCAGTGTTTAAAATGTGTTGTGTAATGTCTGTCCTCACCTGAATGATCAAACGCTGCTTTGAAGGAAGAAGGCCTCGTGGGGTACCTTAAGTGGCGGTGGCGGCAGCTGCTACCAAATATTTGTGCTTGTTGTACAATCATTGATTCTCTGCCAAGGCTAGCAACATCTTTTAAGGATGTATTTTGGTATTTCTGAAGTAGATATCAGACCATTCTTTGGTATTTTAAGAAGCACAATCCGTAGGGTTCGTTTATGCACTTTAAAAAGGGAAGGGCAGCTGAGACCTCATTTTCCACAGTCCTTGCAAGGTCTTTTTCTTGTTTTTTAAAGTAAGTTTGCCAGAACGAACTGGAACACATACTGTGATCGCAATAGTGTCTGTGAGATGTATGGGTTAAAGCTTTAATTATAGGTGGAACTATGCCCTGGTGAATGAAAGGGTTGTATAAGCAACAGTTTCAAAAAAGAAGAATCAACTGTGCCTCGAACATGTCCCCAGTTAGCAACGCTGCCACTGGATTGGTGACTGCTTCCTTTTATCACACAAGTCTCCTGCTTGAGATACGAGTCAGCGTCACTGATTTTGAGTGAGAGAAAGTGCATTGCTTTTGTGGTGCAAAACAAAATCTTCTGGAGCTCCAGCTGTAGTGAAATCGAGTGGCATTCTTTTTCACGCCTCCGTACAGAACAGCAATTGAAATCCTTACATGTTGGCATTCCTGGTCTTTCAATCTCAGAGCTGAGCCTGGGGAATTTATCTTTTTAGACTGTAAGTGGCTCCCAGAATTCAAATAGATTGGATTCTAGGAATTGTAACCCAAAGAGGTAACTTTCCCAACCATTGTCTTAGGACATGGGGTCAGTGTGGATGCCAGCTATTCAAATGAGCTTCAACAAATGTGGAAAATGTAGATGACTGAGTAGTGAATCAATCAGATGTCCATATGACTTTGCAGGTCCAAAGCTCACTGGGTTACTATTGGGGAAACCGGCTCATTTCAGTTTTCACTGGAGCTTACTAAACTCTCTGGATTTTCAGACATTACTATTCAATTTGTCAACTTATTTTTTAAAATGCATTTGAAGAGATTTGAGGTATACCTGCAAACAGCAGAGGCCTGCATTCTTAAAGGATGATACCAGCTGTTGCCCCCCCCCCCCCGAAGAGGAGGACATTCATCTGTAAGATAGGGTCAGGGGGACAAGCATCTTCATGATCTCTTTGAGATCTCGGTATGGCCCACAAGATCTCTCCTCCACACAACAGAGCCCTTTCTAAGGATGCCCTGGCTTTGCTGGCTTGTCATTGCATGAGGCCCTCATCTATTCCTTTTAAATATGTGAGTGTAAAGTAGTGCAAAGGAGGGCAAGCTGCTCTTCTCCAGATGTTTGGACCACAGCCCCAGTAATCCTTGGTCATTAGGCCTGCTGACCTAGATCTATGAAAGTCATATTTTGAAACATCATAAAGGCAGTAGAACACCTGAAGTAGAAGGAGTGGATCGGGTGGACCTTGCAGCTAGGGAAAAGACACTGGCTCATATTATTTTGCTTAGCATAGTGCATAGCATTAGAGTAGGCCTACTGAAGAAGTGGGGTTTTGGTGAGTCAACCTCTCTGTAAATTCCATGGATTCAAATAGGCTTAAAGGTAAGTCACAGCTAGAGTAGGCCCTTTTGAAGCTGTGGAACTCTGCTTCTTCAGTGGGCCTACTCTAGTGGAACTTACTACATTGAGAAGCAGGATTTCAGCCTTTGTGTGTCCACAGCAGAGCTGCCTGTCATATTTTCGTTTCTTTCCAGTTCTTCTTGGTTCCTGTACTCTACAATGCTGTTTTTTTTTCCTTCCTTTTCTTTTTCAGCATTTAAAGTCCTTGTGTTCAAAGAGCAGCACAGGACTCTTCGGCAGACATGTGCCCCCAGTTATGGATTCACAAGCAGAAGTGTGGGTATGGGCCTAGGGCCCTGCCGCGTTACTTAACAGCCTGGGGCACTTTCTCCCAACGCAGCTATTTACCCCCAGCCTGTGGGAGAAAACGTCTGCATCAGTGGTAACCCCTAGGGAGTCAGGGGAGATTAGGACTGATTTTTGTTGAACTGAGATGGGATAGGAGTATTTTTTTATTGTTGAGAAAAATATGGATGTTGTCATAGATATTTAGATCAATAAATTCGCATTCCAACCATATTTCATGGTGACCCTTCAAACATAGATTATCTTTGCATTACAGTCTCCAACACTTAAGACTTAAGCACATCTACCTATAATACTCTGCAAATATCTGTCTTACACATGAGGTCAGACACATTTATCCTGAGTGAGTTTGGAATAAATACTAATGCCTAGCTAGGTGCTTGCTGCCATCAGTGTGAATTATAGTCCTCATTCTAACCATGCAAATCATATAATCCACATTTCTTCCTCTTTAACCACAATTGTGTAGTCATAAGCAAGGTGGTTAAAGTATATTAAGGGGACAAATATGTCTTAGGCATTCCATGTGAACTGAGAAACAAATATATTTTGCTTACTGTAACTCATTCATTTGAATAGGTTTTAAATGTACCAATCTGCACTACCAGTACTTTTACATACAAATAGCTATTCTGAATGCAGTGGAGTAACCAAATGTCCACAGCCCAAGATTGGTATCTGAACGAATTCTCACTTAGGCATGCTCCTGAGGGTGAACAGTGTCTCATGTTTACAGGAACAGATTATCATGTGGTGAGTTTTCTGTGTCATTCTGTTTTGATAAAACACTGTCTCATGAATGTTGCCCCTCGGATACTCAGCCCTTTCTTGTAAAGAATGTTCTTTTGGGATCGTTCTTCAGGATGTCATTGAACAGAAATCTGGCCATGTGTTTGATGGCAGGATTGCTATTCTGGTGATGTTCTCCTGTTGAATGATTGTATGAACTCACCTAATTATACAGTTGTTATTCAGCCATGCTTCAGCTTTTTTTTTTTTTTTTTTGACTTTGGCAGAAGATAGCTGTGTAAAGTCCAACGTGTGAAGTTTTTTTAAAAAAAAGCCAGAGTTCTACCTCGTGTGTGTGTGTGTGTAGGAATGTGTATAACTTTTTTTAATTTTCATTATATTAATTTATCATTACACTCAAATTTTAAATAAAACAGTAAATAAAACAATCTAATAAAATGCGTTCAAAAATCCATTCATGTCTGGCTTGCCTCTTATATTTATCTTGTCCTCTGAAATTCTGAATGTAGCAACCAGATACTGTACTATACAAATACATTGGATTCTATTTACACAATTTGTTTCTAAATAACTACTCTTTGCAAAATAAACAGTGTTAATAGACAGTCTTGGGAAAGGAGCAAACAGTTAACATAATTGTTACCTGACTTGATTCTATGACCTTGGTAGACTATAAATTATTGACTTATTTGTGAGTAACAAACTGGCAGAAAGTCCTTTGTCTCATGTTCTTTTTGTGTTTCAGAAATAGCAGATTTTTTTCATAATACTATGTGTGTTTCTCATTCCTTGCTGTCAGAATCCTAATCAATGCTGAGAGTGGGGATGGTTTCAGATTTTAGACTTGGCAATCTTGGATATTGTCTTTTGAGTGGAGATGATGTAATATAGGACTTCTTCACGCTCCAGGATGTCTGGCTCAAGGTCAGCAACCACACTACAGTGGTGCCTCGCATAGCGACGTTAATCCGTGCAAGCAAAAAATCGCTGCTAAGCGATTTCGTCGCTATGCAATTTTAAAAAGCCCATAGAAACGCATTAAAACCTGTTTAATACGTTCCTATGGGCAAAAAACTGACCTTGAAGTGAAGATCCTCCATACAGCGGCCATTTTCACTGCCTCTTAAGCGAGGAATCCGTCCCTAAACACAGCGGGTGGCCATTTTTTTACCCGGCGGCCATTTTGGAACCGCCGATCAGCTGTTAAAAAATCGCTTTGTGATGATTGGTAAGCGAAACAGGGAACCGATCATCGCAAAGCGAAAAAAAAACCCATTTAAAATATTGCAATCGATCCCTTTTGTGATTGCAAAATCTACATCGCTATGCGGTTTTGTCGCTAAACGGAGCACCCGTTAAGCGAGGCACCACTGTATCTGGGTTGTCTGGGACATCCAGAGCTTTATGGTATAATTCCTCTGTATATTCTTGCTACCTCTTCTTGATGTCTTCTGCTTCTGTAAGGTCCCTACCATTTTTGTCCTTTATCATGTCCATCTTTGCACAAAATGTTCCTTTAATATCACTG